GTGGTGGCGGGCACCTGTAGTCCCAGCTACTCGGGAGGCTGAGGCAGGAGAATGGCATGAACCCGGGAGGCGGAGCTTGCAGTGAGCCAAGATCGTGCCACTGCACTCCAGCCTGGGCGATAGAGCGGGACTCTGTCTCAAAAAAAAAATTAACCGGGCATGGTGGCGGGCGCCTGTAATCCCAGCTACTCAGGAGGCTGAGGCAGGAGTCTTGAACCCAGGAGGTGGAGGTTGCAGTGAGCTGAGATGGCGCCACTGCACTCCAACCTGGGCGACAAGTGAGACTCCATCTCAAAAAAAGAAAAAGAAAAAGAGAATTCCGGGAGCTTTTCTGGACTTGAAGATGTTTCTTGGGTGATTTGCATTCAAGGTAATATGTCTCTTAAGGGAGAGTCTAATGTTCTCATGGAGGAACTGGAGCCATCAGAGAGGGGTGGAGTAGGGGGTACAGGTGAGGGGACCCAGAACTCTGATCACACAGCCTCCGTGCCCCAGTGCTAAGGCTGGCTTCCCTGTGTTTAACCCCAGTGTGAACTTGGCCTGGTGGGAGTGTGTGTGTGGGTCAATGGGTCCCTTGTGGGGTTGGGGGGTGAAAAGATTTGCTGAAAATCTCCCAATGGGTAAAAATTGAGGGTTCCCCCAAGGAGAGACAGTGGTTTGGACGGTTCCATGGGCCTGAGTCACCTGTGACAGGGCCACCCCCCCAACCCACAGGGTATTTTTAGCTGCAGGCTGCACTCACGTCTGGGCCTGGGCCTGAGTCACACTCTGTCCGTGCAAAGTGCCTTCCCTTCCGGCTCCAAACCCACCTCCCGGAGTCGCTCCCTGCCTGTGGGGCAGGAGGGTGGCCCCCAGCCAAGCAGCCCCTATGGAGCCAGTGTTCCCCCCACCCTTGAGGGGTCCGCCTGTCTAAGAGGAAGACTTCCCTTGGGCAGAGGAGGGGTGTGGGTCGGATGATACCCGTGTTGCTCACTCTGGCTTCCCAGGAGTTATTTTCTGTCCTGGGAAAATAGAAATGGATGGAAAATGGCTGGCCTTGGGAGTCTCAGCCATGCCCCCACACTCGCTCACTCTCTGGCCTCCGCCATTAATTCCCCCCCACCGCCCCGCCCCACCCCAACTCACCCGCTTCCTCCATCCTTATCCTTGCCTGGCACCAGGCTGTCTGGAGGACAGGCATGCACACGTGTGCACCCGCTCACGCACGTGGCCGGGCTCTGGGACCTCGGGACCACTTCTCCCAGGCACCCCTCGTCACCCACGGAGATGGGAGGCCTGGCCCTCCCCTCTCTCCAGGAATCTCCTCTCTCCCATCCTCCGGGCCCACAGTGGTTGGCCTTCTCCTAGTGAGTCCTAGCAGAGGAAAGGAATGTCCAGGCCTCTCTCAGAGTGAGGGGACTTGTCCCCCGTTGTCCTCAGCAATGAGACTCCTGCTGGAATCCCAAGTCAGCCTAAGAAGGTCCATTTGCTGCAGAGGAAGAAAGAATATTTCCTCCTTATTTTTTCTGGGGAGATTCTCAATATTTCAATGAAACCTTGGGGGTTTTTTTTTTGGTTTTGTTTTTTGTTTTTGAGACAGTCTCCCTCTGTCATCCAGGCTGGAGTGCAGTGGCCCCATTTCAGCTCACTGCAACCTCTGCCTTCTGGGTTCAAGCAATTCTCCTGCCTCAGCCTCCCTAGTAGCTGGAATTACAGGCGTGCACCACCATACCCCGCTAATTTTTTTGTGTTTTTAGTAGAGATGGGATTTCACCATGTTGGCTAGATAGACTGTTCTCAAACTCCTGATCTCAGGTGATCTGCCTACCTTGGCCTCCCAAAATGCTGGGATTACAGGCATGAGCCACCGTGTCTGGGCTGTTTTTTTCTTTTCTTTTTTTTTTTTTTGTGACAGTCTGGCTGTGTGGCCCAGGCTGGAGTACAGTGGCATTTTCTTGGCTCACTGAAACCTTCGCCATCCTGGGTTCAAGTGATTCTCCTGCCTCAGCCTCCTGAGTAG